TGAGGCAGGAGCTAACAAGTTTAAGCCCAGCCTGAGCAACTTAGCAGTGACTTTGCAAGAGCTTATCTCAAAATAAAAAATTTAAAAAAGGGCCAGGATGTAGTTCAGTTCAAAGGCCCTGGGCCCAACTCCCAGTACTGCTAAATAAATAAATGAAAGGACAAAGCAGGATCAAAAAGCATTTTTACAAGGAAACCCCTGGCCTGTATAGTTTTACTAGTAAATTTTGGAAATAGCAGTATGATTTACGATAGCTAAGCCTTGTAAACACCCTAGATGCCATCAACAGATGAATAGATAAAGAAAATATTTTGCAGTTAATAAATAAATATTTTGTTAATTAATAGTTAATTAATAAATATTTTGCAATCAATAATTGCCAAGGTACAATTAAAGAAAAATTACCATGTGCATGAATTTGATAACAATAAAGATTTCATTTAACCACTAAATGTATACAAATCCTAAAGAAAGAAATAAAATGAGACAAAGAACATATGGAATCAAAAACGTTTTTAGATCTATTTTACATACAAGTAATATCAGTTATTAGGGAAGATATATCAGAGGTGCTTATGGATATATAATTTGTAATTTCCATAAAGCAAAAATACTTTTATCCATCAAATAAATAAATTAACTAAATTATATTTTCTTTGAGCAAAAATAATCAGCATTGAAAGTGATTACTAAAGACAAAGCAAAGAAAGATCACAAAAGGTGTAGCTATCACATTCCTTACTTTTCTAACATAAATTTTTACTTTATTGTAATAGTAGCCAGCTGTGCCTCTCTGTACCTTTATCTGAGGGATACAAGAAGCAATCTTCATGTTTACTCATGTGGTATAATGAAAGGCAAGATGTGTGCATGTGTGGAAAAGTGTCAAACTGGGATTTTCACCCACATGATGCTCCATCTAACAGGTTTTGTGTATGTTTACCTGAGCATCATAGAGGGTATAAGACACCCACACCACTCTAGAATTAGTAAGTGTTCAGAAAGGTTGTAGGATATAACATCCATACATTAAGTCAATTTCAATTCTGTATACTAGTAATAAACATAAGTGTACAGAAATTAGCAGCATGCTAACATTTACAATTGCCCCAAACAAAATAAAATACTTAGACAACAATATAAAAACAACAAATATAGGACTTGTGTTCCATCAGTCATGAAATATTCATTAAGGTGATTGAAAAATCCTTAAATCAATTGAGAGACGTAACATGTTCACAGACTGGAAGACATGGCATAGTAAGGATGTCACTTCTTTCTATATTAATCTATAATATAAATTCAGTTACCATCCAATTCCCAGTAACCATTTTAAACATATAATTGTTCTAAGGTTTTTGTGGAAAGGCACAGACTCTAGAACCCTCAAAAGAACTTGAACAATGAAAAACCGTGGCTCACACTGGTGAGGTGACATAACCAGGCAGGCACAGCATCCCCAAGACCTACTACACAACAGGAAAACCAAAACGATGCCAACTGTGCCCTACAAGAAAGGATGGGGAAACAAAACATACATGCATGCTATCAGTGTAAGAGATACTTGTGTATGGAGCATGCAATTTTCATGTGTGAAGACTGCCGTGCATGTGACAATTTAAGCCAAGATTATTTTTGTTGTAGAGATCTATTGGTAGTCTTATTGTAGTTCACATAGGTTTTAATTTCTGAAGTTACCTTTAAGGTTTTGTAAGGAAGTACACAGCTGATATGAAAATGTTGACATTTATTCTAAATGCACAGTACATATTAAAAATTTAATACTTTATTTTATTGATTTTTATGTTCCTGTTAACTACACATTATATAATGAAATAAGAACCTCCTGACAAAATAGCAAGACCAGTGAGATGTCAAGTATGTCCTATAAGAAGGCCAGGAAAGCAAAACACATGTGCTGTCAGTGTAAGCGATGTGTGGGTACAGAACATGCTGTTGTCATGTGTGAAGACTGCCTTGGGTGTGATCATTGAAGTCAAGATTATTTAATGTAGAGTGCTATTGGTATTTCATTGTTGTTCTACACACATTTATTTCAATTGTTCTTTTTTAGACTCTGTAAACCAAAAAAAAAAATGATGTTTTTTTATAAACAATAAATAGTGAAAATTCAGTACTTTACTTTTGTGATATTTCCCTGTTAAGTACTCATTGTTTAAAATAATAAACCTCATAAAACTAAAATTGATAATCCACCAATAGAAATAATCTAAATAATAAACATGGGTGTGAGGAGCAGAGGTAAAGCAGCCAGCCTCCAGCCTTTCATCCCAATCGCTTCTCTGGGTCCTGTCCAGGGTCCTGTGAAAACCTCACACCCTGGTGCTGTGGTGTTCCTGCTGAGCAGATCACCTTCCACGCACACACAAAGTTCAATGAAGTGCCAGGCCCTGAAGCTTTGAGACATGAAAATGATGTCCAAACCATAGCAAGCTCAGTTTAGGAATTGATCCTAGTAATTTAAAATGCCAATATGATTTCATATGCAAATACGTTTCTGTCATTGAACTTTTAATTGCAAAACTAATTTCTACCTAAGTAAGTGTACCCTGAGTGTGATTTTTGCTTAAATACACCCTCAAAAAATGGAGAAATTCCATTTTGATATGATTCTTCTTCATATGATGCTATAAGAAAAGCACATTGATTTATAAATCACTAAAAATAAATGAAGAGTTAAAAAAAATCCCAGTTACTCATACACCTTACGTTTGTGCACATACACAGAAAGGAAAAAAATAACACAATTTGTTATGACCGATTGAGAGATACCAATAAGAATTTTTATGGTTTTCTCAATTGTCCTATTTAAATTGAAAATACAATAATTTGATACACTGATCCAACTTAAAGCTTAAAAATATAAAATCTATAAAGATTTCTTAAAAATATACCATTTATTCTAAATATACACAAATACTAGCTGCATAAAGAGAAATAGAAAATGTCTGGCATGTTTTTCAAATTTGAAGTGAGAAGATTGAAAGCAGACATGAGCATTATTAGGGATAATTTTTCTTTCGTAGACACTTCTTTTAAAGATACATAGAGAAAAGATACATCTATATAGACACTCACTAGGAATTATTAGATGATTACTGACTTAATTAAAACATAGCATTCCTTTAGGACTATACTTGTTTCATAGGGACTGTGAGCATTTCTACTAGGAATTGTGGCAGCAGGCTTATTTTAGAGCGAGAATCTCCTACTGCTTGGGCCTGGATGCACTTACAGTGATGGGTAACTAGAAGCCTGATGGGGTGAACACTAAAATATTTTATTTGTTTTTGGTTTTTTTTTGTACTGGGGATCAAACTTGGGTCCTTGTGCTTGCAGGACAGGCGGTGGAACCCCTGAGCTAAATCCCCGGCCCAATATTTTAATGAAATAAAAATATTTGCCCATGTCTTAAACTCATGTTGGACTATTAGCATATACCGGCCATTCTTTTGAGAAAAAGAATGGAATGTTTATGTTGCTGGTTTTTGTCATCAAGCTGTGAATTTTGCATAATTTTGCCCTCATTAGACATATAAGGAAGATCTGTAAAAAGGGAAAAGAACTTGGAAGGAAGATCTTTTTGATTTCAGAACCTAGCACCAATGTGCATACTTAGAAACACTATAGTAATGTGCCAGAGGCTTTCATCCACGGCAGCCACTGAAGATAGACAGGGGTTTCTAAAGAAGGGTGTGGTGCATTGTGAACATGCTGGCAAATTAAAAATCTTGATCAACATTGAAAGAGTGACACCTACTTCCAGTGTTTTGGAATTGCTTTATGCTGCAGAATATTTTGCAGGATTTCCAATGAGAAAAAATAATCCAGTTTAAAGTTATCTTGCTCGGCTGGTTCTATTCATTGCAAACAAACACTCAGCGTTTCCCCAGAATAGCACTGATTTTATCCATAGACAACATTGCACCTTATGGCAAAACTGAAGATAGGGGATTTACAGCTAAAGCACATGAGACTGCTAAGCTCGGTCTCTTACTCATGCTTTCAGTGCCTGAGAGCGCTGCACCTTCTCTGGAAGAGGTTTCTTACAAGGGGATGTTTTGTTTCTGGGGCACAAAAGGCTTAGCCTCCTTTGTGGAGTAAAAGACTGAAAGAGGCTCCATTGTATTTGTGTGTTTTTCTTTAAAATTGGTTTTAGTGAGGTATAATTTGCATGCATTTACTTTGAGCAGAATTTCTGCCTTTACACAAATTCAACCTTTTCAGGGCACACCGTTATGAATGTTGGCAAAGCACACAACAACATACATGGCACAATCCTCCAGCTGTGTGTTTCACAACGGAGCTTCCTTCTTATCATGTGGGGATGTATTCAGCAGGTGATAGAGATCCTGCTATAGACTGCTAGCTTCCTATACACTCAGTCATGTTAAAGTTTAACTCATTTATTAGACACAGCACAAGATTGGTGATAATAAAATAGGACGGTTGTAACAGTTTGCTGTGAAACATTATGTAAATGTAGTCTCTCTTGAAGGAGACAAGATAAATACTAATATGCGTTTGACTGTGGTTGACGGTGCATAATGCTAACAGTGGAAAAAGATACCTTAAATGAGGGGCGATGCTGTCCCTTAAAATATCCCTTATCCCGTCAAAAATAATCCCACCCTTACCCAATGACTGCTGACTAGATATTTGCCTTCTGACCAGATTTGGCTGTCTTTTCTGAATTGAAAAATAAACAGAATTGTTTTGTTGTTAGCTTGCTAAGTTTGGCATCTCTTCATCTGTAATATGAGCTGACATTCATTCTTCTAGTTGCAGGGTCCTGAAGGCCAGTCTTTCAGCTTTTCTTGTTTCAGTGTTAACATAAAGGAGTTTTATATGTAGACATTCAAAGAAGGTCATATTGGAGCTGGGGATTTAGCTCAGTGGTTCTGCCACCTGCCTCCCAAGCTCAAGGTCCCGAGTTTGATCCCCAGTACCAAAAAAAAAAAAAAAGTCATACACAGTTTTTGGTCTTGTTTTTACTTGATTAAAAAAATATCATTTAGTGTTTATGTTTACACCATTTACATTTACATTTAAGTAAATGATTAATGTGTAAATCTACCATCTTGATGAATACTGATTTTTCATCTATTCTGTTCTTTTTCTCTTTTTTTGTCTTCTTCTGGATTAATGGACTATTTTTGTGATTTAATTTATCTCCAGTATGCCCTATTAGTTACCAATCTTTTTTGTTTTTTTAGTATTTCTTAAGTTTTGTAATAAAAAGTTAAATTTCTTACTGTCCCATTTTAAACATGTTACACCATGTCATTTATAATGTAATAGCTTTATAATATAATATTCTCTCAGTTTCACCCTCACATTGTATTGTGTTGTCATGAATGTTCATGTAGAGTTCATAAAATATTACTCAAAACATTCTTAGCGCTATTTGTTAGTTACCTGTTCAATCAATTAAAACTGAGAGCAATTTTCAAGTTTTCTTTGTAGTCACCATTTATGAAACTATTCACTTTGTATAAACCTGAGTTTCTATCTAATATTTTATTTCTTGTGATGAAAGTCTTTAATATTACATTAATTCAGATCTTCAGAAAGTAAATACTGTTTTAATTTGCTTGTTTTGGGACTACTACTCCACCTTCATTTTTGAGAGACATTTTTACTGAGTACAGAATTCTGTTTTAGTATTTTATTTTCAGTACTGTAAAGATGTTACCTTCTCTTTTATTTTTCATAGCTTCTAACTAGAAGTGTACTCTAGTACCGACCATTGCCTTTCTGTGTATAATGTGTCGTCTTTTTCTTCCTATCTTCCAACGTCTCTCTTCTCTTTGTAACTCTTTACAATGCTGTGCAGGAAACATTTTTCTCCCCTTGTTAATCTCTGAAACTCTTGGGGCTGTGATTTCATATCTCTCAGTACTTTTTAAAAAATTCTCAACTATTTACTTTTCTGTAACTTTTCTCCCTTTTGTCTTCGGTACTCTGAATACAGTAGAACATTTTGTATTGTCCAGTACTGCTAAATTCTCCTTAAAAATCCCTTCTGTTTCTCTTTCTGTCTTTCAGTTTAGGTAATTACTGTTGTCGTATTTTCAAATTCACTTATTTTTTCTTAGCAAATTTGAGACTACCAATAAGCCTGTGAAAAAATTGATTTCCAATTTTGTATATTTATTTCTATCATTTTCTTCAGAGTACTTTTGCAGTTTTCATGCATCTGCTGAAATTCATAATTCATTATTTTATACATACTTTCCCATGTTCCACTACATGTTTTTAGCCAATTAATCATAGATTTTGAACTTCTCTGAGTGATCTTTGAATCCTCGATCACTCCTTGTATTTGGAATCATAGCCTGTGTAGCATTTTCATATTTGGGTATTTTGCTTAGTAATATGCATTTAGGAATCCTCTATGTCTTTTCAGTGCTTGACACCTCATTTTCTAATTTTTATTTTTATGAATAGATATTTGTTATACACAATGATTGCATTCATCAGGGGGATTGGCACATGTGCGTGACACATCTTAGTTCTTCTTCCCCCCATCTATCGGTCTCCTTCCCATTTGCAAGAGATTGCATTTTTTGATGGCTCACATGGATAGATGCACTGGTCTGTTCACCATTCGCCTGCTGTTCTCTCACGTGGACTTGAATTCCTGAGTCACGGTCCAGGGCCCACAGGTGCTCATGGTTCACTTGTGCCCCCGAGCTTCTGCTCCTGGCAAGCGTGGCTCCTTGTGAACACCACTTTCCCCAGGACTCGGGCTGTCGTCTACCCTGTGATTTTTCCCTAATGGATCTAAGAAGGGCTGGTGGGTTTCAGTTTGTTCAGTGTTTCTTTTTCTTATGAGGTTGGAGGTGTGACTTCCACACTTTACATACTAGACCTGAAATCACAGCCTGCCGTTGCTCAACAGCTTGCTAGTGGAAGGCAAGGTGTCCTTGTTTGTCCCGGGTCCCCAGGTCTCATTAGCCCTGTGTGCCCCGAGTCTGCACCATAATGTCCTCCTCCTTCTTGAGGGCAAACAAGGGTGCCAGGTGTTTGGGGCTGGTCTGGTGCAAGAGAGCTTCCCGCATCTGCCTGCCGAAGTGAAACCTGTCCTAATAGTAACACATCTGGGGTCGTTGTATTTCCTGTGCCTTCTGTAGGTGTAGAGTGATTTTTCTTTTATCATCTCCTGCCAACAGTGGGTCTTTATCTAGGTTTTAGGCTTGACACTTTTCCGTTTCTCCTCTGATGCACATACTGTGTGCTCTACAGAAGAGAAGGGTCTGGGAGGGAATGGGGTGAGTGAACATGTACTGTTTGAGTTCCCAGGGCTTCTTAACTATGGTGTAGCAAAGGGCCAGGATTCAGCAGTTCATTATATTTTTAACTGCTTATTTTGTACCTAGATAAGAAAGGAATGGAGACAGTGTGACTACACATCCATGAAGTAATCATCAAAACCCTTATGCATATTAGTTTTTTATGCATATTAGTTTTACAGGTGAAATATTGGTTAATGTTCAAGAAAATATATATACATATTCCATATATATATACATATTTAGCATATATAGATAGGCTATCCAGACCTGAATACAGAGTTTTTTCAATGGCAATTAGGAAAAATATACTTCCAAACAAGGTTTTGTGACTAAAGCTCTTTAAAGAATTAAGAAGCTTTTCTTCCTATTTTACATTAGCGATTATTCATTCTAATCATTGGTACATTTTAGTTATACAATATAATGACATTCATCATTGGAAATTTGCACCTTTCCATAGTCTCTCTTGGTTCTTGTTTTTCACCCTTGCCCAGCCCTCGCTTCAACCTCTCCAGCCCTCCCTATTTACAAAAATTTTGTTCCTATTTTTCCATTTTCTCATATTAATCCCATTCCCTTCTATCCTTTCCCTTAGCCCTCCCACTTCCTTCCCCTTTGCCCCTTTTCTTCCTATTTCACATGACCTATTATACATTTAGTCCTTATTTACACTTTCAGTTTCTCACACCAGAGAAACTATTTGGTATTTACACATGTGTGTCCTATTTATTTCACTTAAGAGTATTGCCTCAATGTGCATCCACTTAGCTATAAATGTCTCTAATTTCTCATTTTTTATGGCTGAGTAGTACTCCATTTTATAAAAAAACCACATTTTCTTTATCCAGTCTCCAGTTGATGGGCATTTGGGCTGTTTCCAAGTTTTAGCTATTACAAACTGCGCTGCTATGAACATGGGTGCACATGTATCACTGTGGTATGATTCTTTTAATTCTTTGGGGAAGATCCCCAGCAGTGGAATAGTGGGGTCAAATGCAAACTGACAAGGAAAATATTAAATAAACTCCTTATAAGGAAAGGTATAATTTAGATGGCTTGAAAAGGCAACTGTAAATTAAAATCTGTAAAAATACTCTACTATAAAAAGACTATAATTAATGCAAAACTTAGAAACTGCATAAAAAGATTGACCTATTTGATAATATAGATATAAGAAACTTTTCTAGGACAAAGATAACAAACAAATTTGAAGGAAAAGTGATAGATGATAACATTCTCACAGACACAAGATTAAAATCCTAAAATACAAAAAGTTTCTGTAATCTAATAAAAGTAAAACCAACAACTGAGTCAAAAATATACAAATAAATTCAATATAATATTAGTAAACAATATGAAAAGATGTTTAGCTTCAATGTTAGTAAGGACAAAATGAATTGAAAAATAGTCAGTGGAAGGAGGTCTGGGAATGAGAGGAGACAGGAAAAAGGAGAAGAGGAGGCAAAAAAGATTGAGATGTGATACTTATTTGTGTCAATTCCCCCCAATGAATGTATTTATCATGTATCTAATTATATAGTAATACAATATTTAATAAAGAAAAAAAAAAGAATTAAGAAGCTCGAATACATGGTCAGCTCTGTTTTGCATTGTAAGGGGATGCTGATTAACATATACTGTGAAGCAAGGGTCAGAGGCCCTGAGAGAGGCTATTGTGAACCTGACAGGGTGTTGTGAAAGTCATGCGTCAGGGTATATTTGAGAGCTTTTCATTAACTCCGCATATATATATATATATATATATATATATATATATATATATATATATTGTTGGCTTTCAAATATGACATGAGAGAATTCTTTATAAAATGAATCATCTAACTTCATTCTCCTTCTATGTCTTTTATTGTGATCAATCTAATGCAACTAAAGGGCTCCATAGGAGACAAAGGGTGTAATTATTTTTAAAGCACTTCAACACATATCTGACAAAGAGGACATTCCTGTCGGAGGTGAGAAATCAGCGTCTCCTGCTTTTCGTTGAGTTGAGGGAATCCTTTGGTGGAGATGCAATGGGGAGGACTGAACACGATAGGCACATTTTAATCTGATGGTAAATGACATTGTTGTTGGCTAAGTTAAAGAGAAAAATTATGAACATATCACTATCATTTTTGCTTCAAGAAGTCATTCTTTGAGGAGAAACTGGAGCAACCACGTAAATCAAATCAGGTGATGTTTGACAGGGTGATACCTTTATGTTTAAGGCATAGTATTAGTCAATTCCATCTTTCTATTGAAAAGGTAAGAAGAACTTGGAGGAAATAGTTAAAGTCATTTTCTTTCCTCCTACTATTCTCTTTGGTCCCTAAGGTACTTGGTATGATGAGTAAGTACCTAAAATGGGCTGAATAACAAAAGCATTATTTTTAAGGTACAAATCTTACTTTGAGTATTATAAGTTATTTTACTTTCAAATAGAGGAAAATTTGTGTTCAGCCCAGCCCATTTATGCATTTGATGAAGAAAAACTGCATCTGAAAGGAATAAGTACAAATTAACATCTTTCTGATATTGTCTGCCTGATTTCAGCATGAGTAAGAGTCTGGGGCAGCTCTCCAGCACATGCTATGCAAAGATCTCTAGGAATAGGAGGTACCTATTTCTACTAATGAGGCAGAACGCTCACAAGACCTCACCCAGCTGGACGTGGGTTAAAAATTCAGCTCCTGTATTTTCCAACATGTTGTACATTAAACAGTACAGATGGGGTTGGGCGATCCTCAGACCCTTTGGCACATTACTGCAGTCCACTGTGAGACTGGAACATCAGTCTCATCTCTGTTCCTAGGGCACCTATGGAGAGGAACACCCTGAGTGCTGAGGAAACAGCTGCATGAACCATGCGGGCGCTATGAATAGAGCATCATCAATCTTAGGGGAAAATGGCTGTCACAATCTTCAGGACACAGAGAGGAACTAACTGGGGATTTTCGCACGTGGAAGAAGAAAATACAATGTTTTTCTCAGTATTTGGGGACAAAGTGCCACGGGAAATCTGGCAGGAGCACTGGACAGGAGGTTAGAGACCTGACTTTAAGGCCAATTAGGCTAAGTGAGTTATGTAATTCTTTACTTCTTGTTCCACTCTAACTCTCAAACTTTCCATCGAAGATAATCTTTCTCTTGCCAGAAGAACTCCTGTCAGTGTTTCCTTTAGGCAATAGTCTGTGGGTCACATTTTCATTCACATTTTGTTTACGTCAAAATTTCTTCCTTCTTTTTCTTTCTGGAAATGTATTTGTGAAGGGTTTGAATTTTATATTGGTAGGTTTTTTTCCTACTATCATTTTATTATCTCCTGTTTGTTTTGCTTTTCCTGAGTAAGTCACAATTTCTTCCTGATCTGGAGCTTGTAATAAAGATGAACTTCTCAAAGGCCCCAGGCCATTGACTGAAACCTGCTCAAAGACCAGCTCTGGTGAGGGCCAATACCCTCGGCCACCTCAAAAAGCCTTGTTCTTTCCTGGCTTGGGGGCAGTCAGTGGTTGGCAGATATCTGAGAATTCTCAGATGAGACTCATTTGTAAAGACCGATATTTCTAAGAAATAGAATGAGCATGAGTCATGAAAACAAAGGAAAAAAAAGTGTCAGGAAGCAGTAGATCTAACGTGTAGTAAGATGGTAGCTTAAAATAGGTACATGTGTGCCTAAAATTGTTTTTAAAAAATGATTCCATTTAATTTTACTTGGAAAATAGGATTAATTAGATTAGCTTTTTTGGCTCTCTGAATTATTTACAGAATGCATGTTTTATCCTATAATAAGAATTTGATTTCTTACAAGTTGTCTTATAATCTGTAAAATGCTATGAGTAAAGAGGCATTTGAAATTGCTCTATGTATATATTTCTTTAGACTTTCCAACTTTATTATGAGAAATATTGAAAAGGAACATATTTTTTCATTTGAGATAAAGTTCTAAAGAAACACCATCAAGTTAATGTTCTTTTTGGGTTAAAATCCATCTTTGATATTGAACTGTGAAGTGCAGGTTGCTGCGTTATGTAGGTCGGTAACTCCTAACCCTTGAAGATGTACGGACGGGCTTGTGTGATGTGCAGCATGGTACTTAGGAGAAATTTACCTTTTTGTAGATGCAAATTCATGGGTCACATGTCATGATTAACTCAGCATAGACCTTACTAGCTATTAAAATTTAACAAACCAGCAATAAAAAGAACTGATGAAATGAAATGTTTTCGGAACCTCAGGAGCCAAGGCTTATTTGTTGTGTGATGTGATTAATTCTTGGTAATAATAAAAAACAAAAAAGTAGCAATGTTTCCGACTTCAGCATCATCACCCCCAACAACCCTGAACTTTTTGTAAGTCACTACCCTTTCTACCTGAATATTGGGTTTTGTCATTTCTTATATGCTTTAGGGAACTTCGGGTTCAGACCAATAGTGTCAGTGCCATTATCTTCTTCATATTCTCGGGTAACAATTCAGTATTTTTTCTGTTGAGCTTCATATACCTGCTAACACTTTCTATCCCTTCTAACACTTACAACTGAACCTAGTTCTGGGCTAAGTTTCAGATTTGTGAACAAATGCATGTTACCTGCAGTAGGATTTGCTGGGATGACTTAGCCCTTGAGAATTTCCCTCTGCATTTCAGGTTTCTCGCATTTGGAGGGGGTGTCTGGAATTGGGTCCCTCCTGAAAACAGAACAAGGAACCTACTTGGGGTGCACCAGAGGCCTGTATGTGCATGAGATGACTGTGCTTTAGAGTGAATTTGATAAGTTATTGCTGATGAATTGGTTCTGAGATAAGAAACTTGTGAAAAGCCGATAATCCTCATGCTGACCTGTTTCAAATAAGCTACTAACATATAGAAAAGGCCACATTTTTCCTTTTCTGCCTTCTGAATATATTAATAGAAAGTTATTTGATGAATTATTGTTGTAATTATTAATTATTATGTGATTCAGGATCAAACCCGTGGCCTCACCCAAGCTATTCATGTACTCTGCCCCCAAGTTACATCCCTGGCTTGAGAATGGTTGTTAACAAAAGAAGTTTCCTTTGTGAGCCATAATTTCAGACAGCTC